ATGTGAAAGTTACGGATTTTAGAAGTCGGAAGTGTGCTGTGCGAAAATGGGTGATGTGGCACAATCTTGGCCATTGCTTTCTCCCCAAGGCTTGCCACCAGATGGTGACATGTGGCACCAAGTTCAGCCACATTTCACCCTATAAATACCACCTCTCCCACCCTCATTTTCTTCACACCTTTCCCATTCTTTCTTCTCTTTACTCTCTCTCTCTCTAGAACCTCTCTCTAGCCCGAAATCCCCCGAAAAGCCTAGGGAACCTCCCTAGCACGAGGCGGAAGCCCGGAGTGCTCGAAGGCTCTGAGAAGAAGAGCTTTTCGGCTCGGGAACGCTGCTCCAAGCAAAGCCCGGTTTTCTATAAAACCCGCTGTAAGTGAGCTACGCCTACGCTATTTTTAATATAACTTTTATTTAATTATAGTAACGTTATTAGGAACTTATAATAAATACTTGGGCTATTATTATGGGTTATATAAGTATTTTTTTGACGCTTATATAATAATAATAATAATAATAGCTAGACTATTAATTAGTCTCGACGAATAATAAACTAAACTCTAGTGGTAATAATACTAGGTTTCGTCGAAGAAAAAATTCTTTTTAAGAAGCGAAGCGCTGTCTGAGTTCGGAATCACCACCTTTTCCGGTGAGTGCATAGTTACTTTCAGCTTACACATAGATATGAAGTATTTTATATAAATTACGTGCTATGTGTGCATATTATCTGAATACTTGCTATCGTTATATGAACGTTGTTATACATGTTTTCAATGATTTAAACTGTATATGTATTTTATATCTACGAAAATGTTGGGGTAAAACATGGGTAGATGTAATAGGTGATGTGTGATAAAATGATGAGAGGCCTCGATGTTGTTGTTGTTGATCCAGTCATCTAGCGGAGTATAGATGACGACCACGGACTCTTCTAGACAGTCCAGTGGAACACTAGCAGGCTCGCAACCTGTAGGTGTTGTGAACGATGTGTTCACCGGTGTACTCCATCCCCCACATGGTTGCCTATTAGGACATTTATTGCTGAGGAATCCCTTAGCAGTAGTGTTCGTCCCGATGATGATCCTTAGGCTAGGTCCCTTATGATAGGTGTTTAGGGACGTAAAGTGAGGATAACGGGAACGGGTAATCGGGTTATTGTTGATTGATGAAATTAATAAACTTATTTATTGTGGGTTGAAAACCCTATGTGCTCACCAGGCTCCCAAGCCTGACCCACTCAGTTTTATGCATTACAGGTAGTGGCGCATGAGCATAGGTGTGATGTTTTGGACGAGGGATTACGGATATAGGCCTGTAGATATGAAATAATGTAGTAAGGCTTATATTGTACTGTTTATACTTTTGATCTGTACGAACATGACATCCCGAGTCTTTTAATGAAATACATTTCTATGGAAATGCTTTTGATAAATCTTTATCATATTATTGTTTTGGGACAAATTCCGCAACCCTTTTATTAAAAGATAACTCTGATTTTGAAATAAAGTATAAACAAAACCGGTCTTTTCTGGCCGTGATTTTGGGGATGTCACAGTTGGTATCAGAGCATTAGTTTAAGCGAACTAGGAATTTGTAGGATTTCTAGACTTAAACTTAGAATGCTAAGCGATGATTGTGAGGTGTGAGTACTAGCTTATTTTAGGAATTGTGCCTAAAATGCTTTTATGTGCTAAATGCTTTATGCATGATATGCCGTTATTTTGTTCGGATCTATGGTCTGTTGCCGACTGGATCTGGAAACCTTATGTGTTTAGGATTCTAAATGTACGACTACGATATTAGAACTAGCATGTAAACGTTTCGGAGTGATAAGGACGATTTAAAACGTCTCTCCTAAATAAAGATCTGAATTCACCTTATTCGGTGTATAGATCATGATGGCAAGGACCCGTAGCGGAAACGTGAACGCAAATGGAGGTAGGAACCAACCCCCAGTAGTTCAGCAAATACCTATTGTTGAAGAAGTTGCACCTGAGCCAGTTACCATGGCTGGAGTTCAAGCCATGATTCAGGCTATGCTAGCTGAACAAAGGGAAGAAATGAGACGGATGCTCC